CACTCTTTCAGATTAGCCTTCAGCCCCACTCGTCCGTGGCACCCCAGCCTGGCCTGTCTCACTCTCCGTACCCATCATGCTCCTCTCTCACACAGCGCCTGGTGGCTGCTCAGTAGGCGGGGGCGTGGGACGATCACGCGGGCGCCAGGCTCGCTGGCAACCCGTCACTCCACACGGCCCCGGAGGCCTGCCATCACCACAGCCACGCCCTGGCAGTACCTGAACAGGGCCTTCTCCGCGCCCAGGATCTGCACCGTGGAGGCCGGGTACTTCGCCAGGTTGGTCAAGCTGCCCGCGTGAGATATCAGACGAGCGCCCACCTGCCAGAGGAAAGGACAGTGGAGAGGACTGAGAAATGCAGAAGGACAATAATAAGAATAATTCATCACACTTATATAGCGCTTTTCTGGACACTCCACTCAAAGCGCTTTACAGGTAATGGGGATCCCAACCACCACCACCAGTGTGCAGCCCCACCTGGGTGATGCAACAGCAGCCATAGTGCACCAGAACACCCACCACACACCAGCTATCGGTATGGAGGAGAACAGTGATGAGGCCAGTTCAGAAATGGGGATTATTAGGAGGCCATGATTGGTAAGGGCCAATGGGAAACTTGGCCAGGATGCCGGGGTCACACCCCTATTCTTTTTGAGAAACACCCTGGGATTTTTAATGACCACAGTCAGGACCTCAGTTTTATGTCTTATCCGAAGGACAGCGTCTTTTAACAGTACTCTATCCCTGTCACTCTACTGGGGCATTAGGACCCCCCACAAACCGCAGGGTGAGCGCCCCCTGCTGGCCCCACTAATGCCTCTTCCAGCAGCAACCTTAGTTTTCCCCCAGCAGGTACTGACCAGGCTCTCACTGCTGAGCTCCAGTGGGCTGCCAGTTGTGAGCTGCAGGGCGATCAAGTGTTTTAAAGCTTTCATTTAGAGCTTTGCATGCTTCCTGCGATTTCTGGGGCTTCCATCACAAATACAATTTAAGTGCTGTGCCCTGCATCGCAAATTTTGTTCTACAACAAACTCTTCCCTAAAAGATCAATGGCGGATCAATGAGAGATACTGGTTTCCTCCTGAATCACAACTCAACTCCAATTAGCAAAAAGACCTTCAACCTCCAATGAGAGAGCTGAAGTGGGCAAGCAGACTGGGTTAAAGAACAAGGACTAGCGCTCTGTGAGAAGGGTACATCAGCATCCTTGGTCCGTCATCACAGTTGAGTCAGTGGATTGACAGATTTCAAGTATCACATCACGTGTGCCCTCAGACAGGGGAATGTATAACAGCTAAAACAGGTCTGCGACACCTGTGTCAGCCTGGCCATGGAAACAACCCGTGACAAAATGCTATTAATCCAAGAGAGAGGCCCATGCCTTGAGAATAACATGCGGGAAAGGGCTTGTACTAGAAGAAAAGCCAACACCCGCATGGGGCCTGACCCGTGAGGAATGGTGCTCCAGCAGTTCCCACTGCCAAAGCTCAGAACAAGGGACTCGCAAGCCAGGATACAAACTGACTTCTGGAATGCAGAGAAAGTGCAACTACTGGGCCATACAGCAGTACACAAAGCAGTGATCAATCCAGGGCATTGAAAGGGAAAACCCATCCTCATGCGAGGTAAGTATTAGTAAACCATGTGCCGTTAGTTCACGTGTAACTGCACAGGTAGTATAGTACCGGTATGCAACCACAGCTGGAGCACCAGAGAGGACAGTATCGGGAGAGTCGCCCGGGAACAGTGACGCACCACATCGCCGATGAGCGCCGCCAGGTTAGGGGCAACCTGGCTCATCTTGGAGCGAAGGTACTCCTGCAGCCCCTTCCTGTACTCGGCCAGCGAGATGACCCGATTGGAGAAGCTCTCGATGTTGATGAGGTCGATGGGGGAAATGTCCATCCCTGAGAGAAGCGAAACGAGAGCTCAGCACCCATCAGCAGGACAGAACACAGCAGGCCTGGTAATCTACGCGAATTACAGAAAGGATTAAACCACAAAACAAGCCTCCAGGAAATATTTCAGGGGAGATGATCATTACTGAACCTGAAAGCGGGTCCACCAACCCTGCAAGAAAAGCTCACAGAGTTTCCTCACCGAGAATCAAAAAGGTATGCGGCAAGACTAAGGACACATCAGAATCATGTCTGTCAGTCACGGAGAAAATCAGTGGATTGACAGATTTCAGGAATAACATCCCTTATGTCCTCCTCCTGCAAGAGCAGCATGTACACGGGCCGCACGAAGCGTGTTCAGCGCTGCCCCGAGGTACTCTGGGTACTGACCCATGGAACTCCGCGAGGCCTCCAGGATAGCCTGGGCCTTGGCGCTGTCCATCACCACCTCCTCCAGCGCCTCCAGGCTCTCCTCGCTCAGCTCCTTCCTGTTGCCGATGAGCCGGGCCAGGCGGCAGTACGTGGAGTTGTCGGTCACGATCTTGATCAGCTCTGGAAAGTGATACCCGTACCACTCCCTGCACGGTTCAAAGGGGAGTCAGGACAACAAAAATAAACATTTTCGGGTGCAAAAACTAGCGCAGTAATCTCCTGTCCTCAAGGTGCAAAGGGGGGGGGGCATGCGTTTCTCTACATCATGTGGTCCACAATATTAAAGTCATTACCAATTAATCTCCTTCACAGGTCTCTCAGCTGCTTCAAAAATGTATTGATACACTTAGCATAGCAACGCCGAACAACGCAAAAAAAAATACTACTCACGCGAGAGCCTGCAACGGGCTCCCGCAACAATCCGAGACTGACAAATGCAGCTGATCCCAGAAAGGAGCACGCCCCCACCCACCCGTGTGAAACAAGCCCTGCAGGCCTGGAGCGCGGAGGCCAGGCCTCCTCAGGAAGGAGGTGTACCCCTCCCCCCCCAGGAGAGGCCAGGAAGAGTCCTGCTCCGTGTGGGGGGGGCGCGGGAGTCTCGCTTTTCCTCCTCTTCCTATACAGACAGCGCTGGAGGGACGCTGGCTGTGGTAAGCACTGGGAGGGCATCGGGGGGGCAGAGCTGAGACCAGCACACGAGCACACGCCCGGCCATTCCAACCCCGCCCCCCCCCTGCATCTGCACGAATCGGACATCTCAACGATTTAAACCTGGACAAATGGCGTCAACCCGAGAAGCTAGAAAGAAATCGGAGCCCGTGGCCCAGTTACAGCCTAACATATTTCAACATTTCCCCCAAACAGGGTAAGGCCTCTGGGAAAATCAGAAACAACCCCTTCCTAGTCCCACTGGCTCCTCTGCCCAGGGAGGCGGACACCGACCTGACGCGCATGGCGAAGGTGTTGATGTCCTTGTCCAGCTGGTCCAGCAGGGCGATGGACTGGATGATCATGTTGTCGGCCTTGTTGACGTTGAACTTGACCTTGGCCCGCGAGTAGCTGTGGCCCAGGCCCAGCTGGGCCTTGGAGGCGGACTGGGCGGTCAGACCCTTGACCAGGGCGTGGAAGTGCAGCCGGACCCCTGGAGGCACAAGAGCCAGAAACGGCGGCCGAGGGGGCCATGAGCAGGAGAGAGAGAGCAGCAAGGAGAAGGGCTGATGTGCACAGGAGGAAAGGGGTCTTATCCAGCACCGCTGACACAGCAATGCCCTGCCCGAATGTTCAGTTTTTCAGTATGAAGGCATCAGTGGGATCAGTATGATTGGAACATCACCACAAATCAGGCAGTCTACGTTCTACAGCACAGGCTACGCTGTACTGGAGCACTAGAGACCAAGCACCAAGCTTTTAAATGCTGCGTCTGCTCCTGTGAGGCTGTACGAAGATAAGACTGTCCAGGAAATCTCACCTCTGAGGATCTCGGCCACAACCCCCCCGGCCTGGCAGGACAGCCCCAGCTCCTCCTGCAGCGCTGCCCCAATCTTGGCATCCGCCACCCCCAGGACAACCTTCTTCTTCTTGCCAGCAGCCGGTAGGCTGGTCTCCAGCAGCAGCTTCAGGTCAGCGTGCACCACGCCTGCACAGGAACATGGGGGCACAGTGAGGAAACTCGCTTCTGGATAGACCAGGCACGCACACACATACACACACAGAGGAGGCACAGTGAGGAAACTCGCTTCTGGATAGAC